GACTACGAAGCAACCGTTCCAAACACCCAACCATTCAACCACCCTAATATTTAATTAATTTCTCTCTCTTCCACATCATCGACAATCATTCCAACCACACCATCTCAATTTTGCAAGTTTATCAGCAACCACAACATTTTTTTTCTTAATTTGATTTTATTTAATTATTATATTTATTTTATTTTATTATATTTTAATTATTAATTAATTCTTTTATTTGCTTTGATTTAATATAATTATATAATTATTTTATTTGATAATTATTTTATTTGCTTTGATTTAATATTATTATATAATTATTTTATTTGATTTGATTTAAAATAAGACGATTAAGTAAAATATAACCACATCGATTACATTAAATAGACAATTTCATAAATAGACGATTAAATAAAATAAAACCACAACGATTACATTAAATAGGCAATTACATAAACATACGAATTTATAAATTAAAAATTAATTTATAAACTATATATTTATGTCAATTTAAAAATTAAAAAAAAAAAGTATAGCAAAATTGATCTCTATTTGTAGAGAATTAAAAATTATGAATTTTGGTATATTATTTTTTTTATTTAATTTTATAAAAAATATATTAGTGTAAAAATTATTAAAAAAAAAAAGATGAACCAATGGGATGGAGACAAGTGTCTCCATTCCATTGGTTACTTTATCATAAGATTAACTCAACCACTTGGTTGCCTATTCTCCAAAACACACCACCAGTCTCTCCTCTTTTCTCATTTTTTTTTTTCCACCCGGTTTTCTTAGTGGTTGTTGTTATTGGTAGTCTTAAGGCGTGTGGTGTGGTGTGGTATGGTGTGGTGTGGTGTGGTGTGGTGTGGGTTGGACACTTGGACTGAACCACACATTAATTTTATTTAATTAAATCATGCATATATATATATATATGTCCTTAATTGGGAAACAAAACGAGGTTTAATGCATGCCAGTACAATTACATCATGTTATATTACTAGCTAGTATTTACTGTATTAGATATACTACTCCCTGCTAATCTATATATATAGTTGGTACGTTGGTGGATAATCGAATGTGTGCTAATTGAGTTTACAAAGTAGTACATAGCAGTAGTATTAGCTAATAATATAGACAATGCTACCATATGTACCCTTTGGTGTACCACTTAATTTACATTCAAGGGCTACATGTACCCAATTTATTAAATTGTTCATTAAGGGTAGATGGATACATGTTCCCCTTGGATGTAAACCAAGTGATACACCAAATGGTACAAATAGCATTATTGTAATAATATTAGCTAGGGATAGAATCAAATTAATTCTTGATAATAACAAACAAACAAACAATTCTGGTCCTTAATTGTACTTTCTCCCTTAACTTATACTTCCTCCTATTTTTTTTTAATTGTCATTTTTGTTTTATCAACTATTAACTAAATAAATGTCATTTTAGATTTTTTGTACATATGTTTCCATTATTACCCTCATTTAGCTAATAAATATATTATGTCTTCTCATATTCACTCTTCATCTTTTCTCAAAATATTCATCTCTATCTTCGTTAAATAAGGTTTTTATTGACAAAAAAATATTCTTAATTAATGTGCAACTTTTCAAAACGACATATATTAAAAATAGGAGGTAGTAATAGTAAATAAATAGATATTTATGTAGGTTTTGTCTCTAAAAAGTACGGGAAACAAAAACCTTAAATATCGATCGGCCAATAATCTGCACCGATTTATTTGTTGATAGTTAGTTTTAATTAATGAGCAATGCTATAGTATTTGAACAAAACTAAAATGCATATTTATAGTTATTATTATTTTATCATAGTTTAAATTATTATCTAAATATTCAATTAATAACGTCATTTTGTAATATATAATAATGTTTGTTTTCTAAATTACTATATATAATATTAATGGAATATTGAATACCAATTTAGTGACTGATCATCTATCTGAATTAACTAAGAATTAAGTCTTGGATTGAATACCGATCAATTAATTAAGCTGTTGGTGGATGGTGGTGTTGGTTAACCAATTTAATTTAAGATATAAAAAAAAAAGTCTTGGTTATGAAACTAGTTAATTAATTTGACCGACCCCCTCACCTCCCATTCAGTCATTCTTACATAACATTATTTATTTTATACTACTACAAAAGTACAAACAGAAGGCTTTCTTTCTTTAGTTAGTCAACACCACAAAAACCACCACTCAAATAC